GCAAAGGCTACAAAGTTTCAATTATAGAAGATTAAAAAATCCCAGATACCAGGGCTTCTGCTGGGGTCACCGAGGGTGTGGCTGGCCTGCAAACCACCACAGGCCCCTCGCCCAGGCCACACCCTCGGTGACTCCAGCAGAGGCCCTGGTATCTGGGATACCCCATGCCCCAAGGGAGCCCCCACCCTGATCCAGGATACTCTTCAGGGCAAACCAGCTGACCCCCACCCTTGCACTAAGCCTCTATCCTATCTAATAAAATAATAATATGCAAATTGACCATCATTCCAACACACAAGATGGCTGCCCCCATGTGGACACAAGATGGCCACCACAAGATGGCCAGCAGGATAGGGCGGTTAGGAGGGATTGGGTCTGTAAGGGAGGGCAATTGTGGGTGATTAGGCCAGCAGGGGAAGGCAGTTAGGGGTGACCAAGCCAGCAGAGGAGGGAAGTTGGGGGCCAGTGGGCCTGCAGGGAAGGGCAGTTGTGGAGGACCCAGGCCTGCAGGGGAGGGCAGTTAGGGGCAAACAGGCTGGCAGGGGAACAGATAAACATCAATCAGGCTGGCAGAGGAGTGATTAGTGGGTGATCAAGCTGGCAGGCAGAAGTGGTTAGGGGTAATTACGAAGGCAGGCAGGTGAGCAGTTGGGAGTCAGCAGTCCAGGTAGGATCGGGCCTAAAAGGGCAGTCAGACATCCCTCAAAGGGTCCCAGATTGGAGAGGGTGTAGGCTAGGCTGAGGGACATGCCCCACCCCCCACCCCCCATTCACAAATTTTGTGCACTGGGACCCCAGTTTATTAATAAAATCATAGAGGTAGAAAAAGTAATTCCTAGAAGAAATGGGCTTAGAAAATATGTTACAGAGATAAAGGAAGGGCCCATGGAGCTTGGGAGTGAGGAAGCTGATGGTAATGCACCTATGGGACAAGGGAAGATGAAGGGGGAGGAGGAAGGGAAAGGAAAAGGGAAAAGTATGGGCATGCTCCCAGGAAGAAAGGCCCACTGGATCCTCTGTCTTAAGGATTTTAAAGGTGGATATTTTAGGGGAGGTTCCAGTGGAAGATCTTAATGGAATATTCAGCAGCTTTTCAGGTATGCCCTTTCATGGTCTAGGTCTCCACTGATTGATTGCCAGAACAGGGGGTCATTATTCAATGCAATTCATCCTGAGATCGGGCTTGGTGTCACTGGTCTGGCTTCCGCTTTTGTGGGCCTGGAGCTGAAATACAACTGAGGCCTAGATATTATCTCTAGGGAGGAAAGGTCAGGGGGTCCAGACTTCATGACCAGCAACCAGAATATGCTAGGGAAAGAAAGACCACCCTGGGGGCAAGATCCTACCCTACAATTGTTCTTTGCTAGGCACCTGGGCTTTCTGCCCTGGTGACCTTTTCTACTTGGACCATCATCCTTACTATGCCTAACTGTCTAACTGCCTATCACATCTCCCACCTCAAGGATATTGGCTCTGAATTCTTTCAGAAAAAAGTGGTGCAGGATCTCTTCTTGAGGGTATTACAGCTGTCTTCATTTCCCACTCACTTTTGCCCACCTCCACCTGGCTCCCTCCCCACCTCAGGTCTTCTCCACACTATTGTCTGTGTCCATGGACCAATGCATATAAATTCATTGGTTGACCTCTTACCTCCTCCTCCCATTTTAAACTTATCACAGAATTGTATAAACCAAATAAAATTATTCTTTGGGTTTTATTTCTTGGTAATATTATAATATATAATTTTTTTCCTATTCATTAATTTTAGAACTAAAGCTAACCTCTTGCTTGCTTAGAGCAAGAGATTCCAGGATAAATAATTTTGACCTACATAAATAATGGTAGCTCACCATGTTAATATTTGTTACTATTTTTCATATCCATATCTGGCATAGTTCTATCATTATTTTTTCTGTGACTTTTTTAATACGTCTTTATTATTCAGATTATTATAGTTATTCCTGTTTTTTCTCCCCATAGCTCCCCTCCCCCTGGTACCCATCCTACCCCATGCCCTTACCTCCCCTCCATTGTCCTCGTCCATAGGTGTTCGATTTTTGTCCAGTCCCTTCCCGTACGCCACACCTCCTTCCCCCCCGAGAATTGTCAGTCTACTCCCTTTCTATGCCCCTGACTCTCATATTCACAAGTTTATTCTGTTCATCATATTTTTTCATTCACTTTATTTTTAGATTCACTTGTTGATAGATATGTATTTGTTGTCACTTTGTTATTCATAATTTTTATCTTTACCTTTTTCTTCTTCCTCCTCTTCTTAAAGAATACCCTTCAGCATGTCTGGTATTTAGCATGTCAGTAATACTGGTTTGGTGGTGATGAATTCATTTAGCTTTTTCTTGTCTGTGAAGCACTTTATCTGACCTTCAATTCTAAATAATAGCTTTGCTGGGTAGAATAATCTTGGTTGTAGGTTCTTGCTACTCATCACTTTGAATATTTCTTGTCACACCCTTCTGGCCTGCATAGTTTCTGTTGAGAAATCAGCTGACAGTTGTATGGGTACTCCCTTGTAAATCACTGTTTTTCTCTTGCTGCTTTTAAGATTATCTCTTTGTCTTTTGCCCTTGGCATTTTAATTATGATGTGTCTTTAAAAAAAATTATATATATATATATATATATATATATATATATATATATATATATATATATTGATTTTTTACAGAGAGGAAGAGAGAGGGATAATTAGAAACATCGATGAGAGAGAAACATCGGTCAGCTGTCTGTTACACACCCCCCCACCGGGGATGTGCCCGCAGCCAAGGTACATGCCCTTGACCGGAATCGAACCTGAGACCCTTGAGTTCGCAGGCTGACACTCTATCCACTGAGTCAAACTGGTTAGGGCTATGATGTGTCTTGATGTGATCCTCTTTGGATTCCTCTTGTTTGGAGTTCTGTGCATTTCCTGGACTTGTAAGTCTATTTTTTCATCAGGTGGGGGAAGTTTTCTGTCATTATTTCTTCAAATAGGTTTTCAATATCTTGCTCTGTCTCTTTTTCTGGCACCCCCATAATTCAGATGTTTATACACTTGAAGTTGTCTCAGAGACTCCTTATACTATCTTCATATTTTTGGATTCTTTTTGCTTTTCCAGTTGGGTGTCTTTTGCTTCTTTGTATTTCAAATTTTTGACTTGATTCTTGGGATTTTCTAGTCTGCTGTTGGATCTCTGTATTTTTTTCTTTATTTTGGTCAGTGTATGCTTAATTTCTAATTGGTGGTCCTTTTTCATATCCTTGAGTGTCTCACTAATATTCTCAGAGGTTTCTAGAAGATTCTTGAGTAACCTTATAACTGTGGTTTTGAACTCTACATCCAGTAATTTGCTTTCCTCCATTTCTTTCATTTGTGACCAGTTTTTTTTTGTGTGTGTGTGTGTGTGTGTGTGTGTGTGTGTGTGTGTGTTCACATTTTGGCTGCTTCTCTGTGTTGATAGAATGGCTTTGTGTGCTAGGTGTCCTATAGGGCTTAGTGGCTTAGCCTCCCCAGTTACCTGAGATGGATGCTCTTGGTGGCCCCCTTTGTAGACTGTGAGTATAGTCTTGTTGTAGGGAAGCCTTGATTGCTGTTGGTACCACTGGAAGAAATTGACCTCCTGACCAATTGGCTGTGAGGACTAGTTGTGTCTACAATGGGAGAACTGCTGTGCTGGAAACACCCTTATGGAGCTGGACTTGCTTCAGTGGGGCTTTGTTGCTCACTGAATCTGAGTGTCTCTTATGGATCTGAAGAGTTGTAATCTGGTGTGGTCTCACTTTGACCACTGGGTGCACTGGCTCTAGGATCTTCCAGGAGATGCAAAGTCAGCCACTGCCTGCGGCCACCCAGCAAGAGCTATAGAGAGATCTGCAGATTCCTCCTCTTTGTTTGGGGTTTAGATGTGCCCAGATGAGGCCCAGCTCTGAAGCAATGCAGGCTGCTGATGAGCATTTTTGTGGAAGCTCTGGGCTTCATTGACCCAGCTCCAGTTTGTTAGATTAGGTTGCAAAAGGTCAGGCCATTTTTATGCAAACACCTCTGTGTACAGCTTGGGTTGGGTTGTAAATTGGGTGGGGCATGGTCTCAGGGAATCATGGGTTGGTGCAAACAGAAATGGTTGCCTGTTGGCCCTGCCCCGATAGGTCCCTGGGTCTCTGTGTCCCACGGCCCCATGCAGAAACAATGTGACCACCTCTGAGAGAAAGCTGCCCTCGTGTTCCTGCCTGATGCCAGATAGTCCAGTTTCTTCCTGTATGAGTCTGTGTCTCCAGAGTCTCACCCAGTACTGGAGTTCAGAGCAGTCAGGAGTTTGTATCTCCCTCCCAATTGAAAAAGACCACAGCGTACCCAGTTGCCAGCCCATTTCCATTTGCACCTCCATACCCTTGCTCTTCCTCACCTTTGCACCTCCTACCAGTCTAGATGCGCTTTTCTCTTTCTTTCTTGTTGTAGAACTTCCACTCAGCCAGCCTTCCCGTGGTTCTGGATGATATCCAGTTTTTCTTTTAGTTGTAGTTTTGATGTGGTTGTGTGAGACAGCAAGTTCAGCTGTTTGCCAATGCCGCCATCTTGGTTCCTCTCTTTTCTGTGACTTTCAAGATATAAAGTTCTTAGGCTGATATTTTAAAATTATCAAAAGAAATGTGTATGTATTTATTTTTAAATATATTTTTATTGATTTCAGAGAGGAAGGAAAAGGGAGAGAGAGAAACATCAATGATGGGAGAGGATTATTGACTGGCTGCTTCCTGCAAGCCTCCCACCAGGGATCGAACCCAGGACCCTTCAGTCTGCAGGCCAATGCTCTATCCACTGAGAAAAACGAGCTAGGGATATCTATATCTGTATCTGTATCTAGTTTAAACACTTAGACTGTAACAGTTATAACACATTTCATATATAAAATTATGTTGTTTCACTTTTAGGTTATGCCTTTCTAATGTAAGACACAATACAGAGCTAAGATATACACAGTCATAATTCTGTTCTTCATTTAGGAAGATTCCTGACCAGACGTGGGTACAGTGTGATGAATGTCTTAAATGGAGGAAGCTTCCTGGCAAGGTTGATCCATCTACATTACCTGCAAGATGGTTTTGTTACTATAATTCCCATCCAAAGTACAGGTAAGCTTGGGACTCAATATTATGCCAGAGATAACTCCTGATTTGTCTCTATATTCTAAAACACTTTTTATCTCAAGTCCACACTCTTAAGCCTGGCATTCCAGCCTCTATGCCAACTGGTCCCCCCTTAATTATCCAGCCTTATTTTTCATTGTATCTTAAAACAAACCCTATGTTTTAGGTAGGTATGTGGCTTCAGTATTCCCCACACATGCCATGCTTATTCCCTCCTTCATGACTTTCCACATACTTACAATGACTTTATGCATTCCATCTGCCTATCCAAATCATATCCATCTGGGATGCTTAAGTGCGTAAGTGTTTTGTGTGATACTTTATTTTCCTGTTGACAATATTTTATAGGATTTTACTTTAACTTTCTATGATATTTAATTCTTGACATTTATTCACATATCATTTTGTATTTTTTTGGATATTTTTCATATGTATATACTTTGGCTCTTCAAGAAACTGTAAGCTATTTGAGAATAAGGGCTTTACATTTTGGATCAAGATGATGGTTTTCTTCACATGCCTCCTATACCGGAATCTGTTGTAGTACCTACTGTACATTCAGTGCTATTTGTTTACATGTTTGTCTTTTTCATACACTCTATGTTCCTTGTAGCATCTAACATCTAGATAGTACCTGGCATTTCCATGGGCATTAATTTCAATTTAACAAATATTTTTATTTGATTCAGTAGTCACATATGTTTATGATAATAATTCAGTTTGCTTCATTTAGGCTAAGATGTAATTTTTACCCCCTCAGGATAAATGCTGATAGAAAAAAGGTACTAGGCGCTATGCTTCCCAAGGGCACACACACACCTTTCTTCCTTCTCAGGCATGAATCTCCTAAACTTTAAGGGTCCCTATGAAACTTGCAACTAGGGGAGCAATGGGCAGTGGCAGCTCATTCTGGGTTAACTCCTGAACCTGTCTCCAAGGCCCCCTTTTCTCTGACTTTCCAGTCAGCCAAAGCAGACCTGCCTAGGCTCTTTCCTGTTGCTTCTTGTTTCACTGTCCCAGCTTTAATAAATGTACTTTCAAAATAAAAATAAAGTAAAAAAGGGCACTAAAACACAGTATGCCTTTTAGAAGAAAATGTTTTAAAATGGAGGAAATAAAATAAATGATGTCTAGATCTGTACTGAGTAGGTATTCCTTCATAATCTCCAGCTGTGCCTAAGCACTTCTTCATGGATAGTAACTGAGATTGTGATTAGAATATGGGACTGAGTGCATAGAAGTCTCACTTTTTAATTCTGTATCTTCTGTTGGTTTACACTTAGTCCAGGAGACATAACCTTCCAGGATATTTTGTCCCTTTATAGGATTTCTAATTATTATTAATTTTTATTTGTTTCTAGGATTACTTTTGACCACTGAATACTTTTTCTAGTACTGTCTTCAGGTTTTTACTCCTCTAAAATTATTTTCTTTGTGCTTTACATATTGCAAATGTATGTATATATTTTCATTTATAGAATCCTCCTTTTTTTCTCTTTGCTAGTCTCTGTTCTATTCTTTTTATGATGTAAGCTCCTGGTTCCTTGTTGTTGCTTTCTATCATAGCCTTTCATTTTCTTCTTCAGGCATCACCTAGTTTAGGGATTCTCATGCTTCTATACTGCATCTTGGGAACTTCTTCATAAATGATAGGCAACAGACCTAGGTTCTAGTTTCAGCAACATTCTCTTTATATGGAACCTCAAGCAAGACTCTTATGTGCTTGAACTTCACTGTGTAAGAATGGAGATTACGTTTTGTACTGTCTACCATAATATGAATTTTGAAGCTGTCAAGTACTTTGAATAGATTGGGAGAAAGGTGATATGTGCACCAAAAATAATTAGATGACTGCATTCCTTGAAATAAGAATTGCTACACATTAACCTACACATGGGTTTTGCAATGTGGGTGGAATCTGAGCTTTATAAGGTTAGAAGATTGTTAAGCTGCCTTGTTATAATTGTGAGGAAAGTAAACGGTAAAAGTGAAGAATACCTTTTATTTCCAAAAGATTATTTCTTCTCTATTCTGCAGGAGATGCTCTGTCCCAGAAGAACAAGAACTCACTGATGAAGACATGTATTTGAGCAAAGCTAAGAAACAGTTGAGTATACCTAAGATAGTATTCTGTGTTATACAGTAGAGAAGACTGACTCTTCCTAATAGGGGAATTTTTAAAAGAAGGTGCTTTTTCCTCCTTTTTTTATTTTTTTAATTATTTTCCCCCTCACCTCTTTATTATCCCAGTTTTTATTCCTTCTAGTCATCTCCTGAGTTCCTCAACTAGTGGTTGTCTTTAGTCTCTCTTCCCTCCCCCTCTCTCTGTTTCATGGGGCATCTGAAATTTCTCTGCAGTAGCCGTGTTCAGAAAGGCATCCTTAGGAATTCAATGAGGCCCATACTATTTCTAATTTGGAAGGAACATTAAAAGCCAAATCTACAATTGGTAATCCATTTTAGACTAAGAAGTGTCACGAGTAAACTAAATAGCACTTTTATCTTTTCCTAGAGATCAAACTGTTGAGAAGAAGAAGGTGCCCTTGGAAAATGAGAACCACCAGGTGAGAGACAGTCCACCCTCTTCCTTTTCTGAACAAAATTTTCCCCAACAGAGGACATAGGTTGAAGGAAGCAGCAGTCTTGAAAGCTGCATTGAAATAATGAACCATTTCTTCTGGTGGTATTTTTTTCATTGCATCTTTTTATTTTGCTTGGATCTGCTGTTACTGATGTTCAGATCACCAAAAATAAGAGGCAAATCATTCATTTTCCAGATTTGGATTCAGTAGTGATTCTGAACAGTGTGAAGGTCACTTTCTGTGTCACAGAATTTTCAGGGTTATGTTCCATCCTCATACAGGCTGCTCCTATTGAGTGTCTTGTTTTCCTCAGTCTCCTTTCTTCCAGGATTCAGGGGTGATTCTTCCTCCTTCCTTTTGGGAAGAAGGGTGATTATTTGTGCCCCTCTCCCATCCCTGCTTTCAGGCTGGCTGGCTTTATAAAGACTGCTGTTTTGAATTTTCAGGAGCACTGTCTCTCGGACATGGTTACCCAGCTCCGGACGCTGAAGGGTGTAATAAGGTTGGCCGTCCTTTCAGGGACTCCTTTTCTGACAGCCACCATAGCACCCATCTATATCCCCCCCTCAACCTTGCCTTTCTGCATGATTTTCCTTTTGACCCTCTTTCCTAGAGATATCTACTAGTCTAGTCGCATGTTAGACTCACCTTTCACCCACTCAATCAGGGTAGGTCAGACTGGTGAGGATAGAGGCAATTTAATACTAATTCTTCTGACAGTCTACTAAGACCTAGTTATATGAATATTCAGGTTTCATGCTCTGCTTAATAGTTTGATGTAGAGATTGGGAGATTTCCTAGGACTGCCCTGTCCTCATTCAGTTTACCTCACCTTTATATCTCTTCACCTTCATCATTCATACTATCTTCATAAGCTGGCTCTGCCACAAGATCCCAGATGCATGTCTCTGTGTGTGTGCACTATGAATACATGTTAATGTCTCGCATGCATTTCTCCAAATCCAGCACCGACACATGCTGCAATGCTTATTCCCTCCATCCCTGCCCTCATCACAGATCTCAGAGGAGTGAAAATCCAGCTTTAAACTGGGTCAAAAGACAGAATTAGATACTGACTAGGGGGCCTGGGTTTATGTTGTGGGTGGGATGACTTTAGGAGCCAATAAGTGAGTTGGGGAGGTCTGTTGGCGGCCAGCTGATTAGGTTATAAGTGAACATGCCTGGGTTCAGTGTTCTAGTGTACATTACTGTGTGCTGTTTGTTCTGTTGTAGGAAACAGTTTCTTTTTATTTGGCTAAGTGTTCTTTCCTAGCATCAAAAGGATTGACTCATCCTTTGGTATTTAGTTTGAAATTGGAATTTTTTATGCATCATTTTTTTCTTTGCTAGGTATTCACTAATCCACTGAAGATTCCTATGATTCAAGACATGGATGAATTAAATAGCCAAACAATTGGATATGAAGAAATTGATAGCCCCAGCCAGTTTCCATCTGTTGGAGAAGAAAACAAAACACCTCTTCAACTTAAGCCTCTGGATTCCAGTGTTTTCCAGTTTTCCAGGTGAGTAAAAACATCGCCTCTCTTCAATAGTAAGCCTCAGGGTTTGTAATGTAAGTTTGTATGATTATCATATTTATGTTTTTCCTTAGGCATAGCATGGAATTTAGAAGGATAAACACCATTTTGGGTTGATAGAATTGTGTGCTGCATGTATCCCAATTATTCAACATCACAATTGCTATGTCAAACCTGTCCTTTTTGCTTTTTGAGGTGATCATCTGACAAATGCTTTTATGTATTGTATATTCATATTATTCTGAGAATTGTGTTTGTGGAATAATAGAGGTGCAAACTCTTTGAAAAGTACTATCTGCTATACAAATATAAGCTAAAACTACAGAGATAAACATTGTTTCTTTCCTTAAGTTTAGGAATATTAAAGTCCTGTAGGTCTCTATAGGCACTTGTTCATCTTATAGCTCATCATCAATATTATTTTGTTAGTCTTTATAACAGGAAGGAAAACACCTTTTTTTAAATATCAGAAATATTTGAAGCAGCCGAAACCGGTTTGGCTCAGTGGTAGAGCATCGGTCTGCGGACTGAAAGGTCCCAGGTTCAATTCCGGTCAAGGGCATGTACATTGGTTGTGGGAACATCCCCTGGTCGATGTCTCTCTCTCATCGACGTTTCTAGCTCTCTATCTCTCTCCCTTCCTCCTCTCTGTAAAATATCAATTTAAAAAATATTTAAAGCACTGAAAGTTATGATTGCCCCTATAATGCCACAAGACTGGAACTCAGGACTCTGATTAAAACTTGCTTTCTCCCCTCTGTTATGCTTCTCATTTCTGATAGAGCCAAGCTATAGGGCAGGTAGAGTTGTTCTCTAACAGTAGAAACTTCTATAGTCATCAATAGTGTGAACTTTCAACTTACCCTCTTCACTTTGGATATCTTCTTAACTTCGGATAGATGCAATGGAAAACATGATACAGTAAAAATGACTTCTGTTCCTCGCCCCCCCCCCCAATGTTACTGATATTTTTCCTTGTTTCTTGTTTCTTAGGTGGGTCTTTCAGCTTCTCATCTAGACAAACATCTCTACATGTATGCAAGTCCCCTATTCAGTGATTCTATCACAATTAAGCCCTGTAGATATTGGAAGAACCCCATGACCCCCCCTCCCCCGAACATGAACAAAAAGTCTCAAGAGGAAGTAAGCTATTAGGAGCAAAACTTATAAAATCCTAAAGGAATTAAATGAGAACTTGTATGAAAGAATTTAGAGGTACTCACTAACTAATGATTGAATGAGTAATATGGAAAGAGCAGTTTCTAAGATTGAACTATATAGCAAGGGAGTGAGAAATATAGTCAGTATCAGGGGCTTGTGAGTAATGTTTCCTCTGTTCCCATCTGTAGTTTTCTAGCTCTCATTGTAGATTGGGAAGGTTGTACAATGAAGTGTGTGTTTTTGAAGTACTTTGTTACCTCTCTATCTCAGTCTCCTTGAAATGATCATGTATTAGAATTGCTACTGGAGTATTAAGGTGTCATTGATCTTGATGGCTCTACTTTCCCTGATTGGACAAATTTCCATTTTTTGTCAGTGTTTCTTTCACTACTCTATAGTGACTTTTGGCAACCTAAAGGAGATTATAAATGCTAACCTATGTATATGTGTATTTTATGAGTGCAGTATGTCAGTTCATCCATTAGGTGGCATACTTTATCAGTCTTTATTGATACTTTTGTATGGAACTGCTGTGCCCAGAGTTGGGTTTTGACTATAGAAAACAGGTAAAATACTTTTATTCCTCATGTTTAGTATTAATTTGAGAATAATATTCTTTCAAGAGAAAGAGATACGTGATAATTGATGTTGCTGCTGATGTCATGTTTTATGTACGGTCACTAAATGATTATTATGTCACTTCATGCTACATGTATAGAGAAATTCAGTTTGATTGGACGGAGTCTGTTTTTCTTTTCTTTTTTTTTAGATTTTTTTTTAATTGTTTGAAGCATTACAAAAAGTAGCACATATGTCTCTTTTTTTCTCCTCTTGAACTCCCCCACGAGTCTGCTTTTCTATAAGGGAAAATGAAGAGTGCTCAACAGTTCAGTGAAATATACAAGGTTTTCTGATAAAACAATGTTAATGGAATTATCAGTTTAGCCAAGAGTTACAAAGGTAGCCTTTGTTGTTATCAAAACCTGAAGGTGATAAGGATCCTTGGGCCATGGAGTACAACTCTCCAACTCTAGATAAAATAAAGCCTTCTCTATAAAAGAAAATTTTAAAAATTCCTAATGGGCTAGCAAGGCCTCTCAATGTGTCATTGGAAATAGTTTTATGAGTTTCACAAATCTAACAAGAGAGTGAAGCACTTGTAATAGATAATAGATTTAGCTGGTAATATGAAAAAGGCATAACTTTTTAAGGAAACACAGCTTATTTCTCTTAATGTAAATCATCCTTTACTGTTCACTCATTCTGCATATATTTGAGTGTTTACTGTATGAAAGATAGTGTTTTAAGGCAGTGATGGAGTCAAAGATGAAAGAGCTTATAATAGTCAAAGTTTTATATATAGCTATCCCCAGTACATTCTAGATTTCATATAAGTAGTACAAACTGAGGTCTAAATTAGTCATAAGCATATGTACAAAGGAGATAATTAGTGGCTGAAATATATTTACATATTTAGAAAGATTTTGAGTAAGTTAAATGTCAAAAGCTAATTATTTCATGTTTAAGAGGATAACAAAAAAAAAATCCAAATTATATTGTAATAGTGGGAGGAAAGAAGAGACATTCTAGTATGTTTAAAGGAATATTTGAAACAACAAATAGAGACAGAAGTAAAAGAACAATTTTTCTAATGAATAAGTTGATTCAGGGGCCAGTATTAACATTTTAAAATATGTTCTTTGAGAGAGACTTTGTAGTGGGCATTTTCATCAACAAATAACCATTTAACTGGAAGAAGTTATTAAAACAAAACAATCATTCTAAGTTCCTGGAAATTGCCTTAAGGGCATACAGAAAATGGAGAAACATTTATTCTGTAAATTTATTAAATCTCAGAAAGAACAGCAAGAGTCTTTGGCATTTAGCCTGTTTCCATCCTCCCCCAAGCTGTGTTTTATTAAAACTACTCTAGGATCTCTAATACAAGTGGGTGTGGTCAAGAAGTTGGGGTCTTTATCTTCCCCTAGCTCCTAGTCTACAGCTATGGCTTTACTTGAGAGAATCAGGCCTCCGTCAATTCTCATCTCCCCCAGTTCTGTCTTGCAGAAGCTCTATTCTGAACAGATCCAAGAAGGACTGGGTCTCTCTTCTCCTGGCTAGCTTTCTCTTCCCTCATCCAGCCCCAACTCATGGTGAAATACTTACCCAGGGAAGTCATGGGGCTATTATTACTCCTGACCCAGCTTGCTTGTAGGGCAGAGGTTTATACCAGAAGGAGCAAACAATAAAAACCACCCCAGCACCTATTAATATAAAACTTTCACTCCTGGAGAACTGGGTCACATTCCCTATTCCCACCTCTTCCTTAGGGAGAGAGACAGGCCTTAAAGATGATGAATTCCTTAGCTCTACCTGCCAGAATGCACATGACCTATAACAGGTCTTGGAGAATTCCATTCCTAAGGGCATTGTCAAAAGTAAAGGAAATTATGGTGGAGAACAATTGACAGGGTACTCATAGCTCCACAATACAAGTTACAACAAGCAAGAGTTGATCAATTAGATGTTTAGTAACAGAGAGAACCAAGGAAAAAAGAGTAAATCACTAGAGGAATTTGAAAATATCTTGAGAAGTTAAAAATGAAAACAAAATATCCCAATACTTATGGGATAATATTTTGATCTCTCTTTCCCTTTCCCTCAGAAGGAAAATTATACAGGCTTATATTAAAATTGAAATGAGACCTCAAATTAATAACCTAAACTTCCACCTTCAGAAACTGCACAAGCAAGAGCACACTAAACCCAAATCAAGAAGAAAGAAGAAAATAACAAAATCAGAATGAAAATGAAATAGAGAATAGAAAAACAATAGAGAAAATCAGTGAAACCAAAAGTTGGCTCTTTGAAAAGAACAACAGAAATTAAGAAAGCAATTGTGTTTATAGTTGCTTGAAAAATAAAATATTTAAGAATATATTTAACAAAGTGCAAGCAAAACTTTGTATAATGAAAACTACAAAATATTGTCGAATGAGGTTAAATAAGACCTAAATAAATGGAAAGACATTTCATGGTTATAGATCAGATTTAATGCTGTTAAGATGACAATATTTCCCAAATTGAGCTACAGATTCAGTGCAGTCTCTTTATCAAAATATCAGCTAGCTTCTTTGCAGATAAGCACTGGATGAAGGTGACAAAAAGAAGAAGAAAATGCAAAGGAACTATGTAGTTGGAAAAGAATTCCTAGTATACAAACTCAAAATTAATCTTTACTAAATGAGTAAATACAGATTTGGAATAACAATTGATTCCTAGAGGGAAGAATCTTTACTTATACAACTAATAAGTATTTACAGAACCAATAAGTAAAATCCATTTATTTTTATCTCCTTAAAGCAATACTTTCTTTTTTATTGGCTTTTATGTGCAAAGTTTTTGTTCCCTCATTCCCTTCTAGCACAGTTACTCAAGCTTCCTTCTGTCAAGGAGCTCATATTTTAGTAGGGAACCTGTGATACATACATACACACATGCACACATACTTGCATACATATGATAAAAAGTGATACATGTAAGAGAGGGCTAAAGTGATACAGTAATTCAAAAGTACCATTTGAGCTGGACTTAGACATGCGCTGGGAATTCAGAAGTGGCATTTGAGCTGGACTTAGATATGGAAGCAATGATTAAAGATTTCAAGTAGGGGTGTGACATAATTAGAGCAATACCTTACTTAGGAAGATTAATTTGGCAGTGGGTGATCTGGAAGTGAGAGAAGGGAGCCAGGTTTGAAGGTAAAGATGAAAGATCAATTTTATACATACTGAGTGAGATATCAGTAAGACTTCCATGAAAAACAAATAAAACAGTATAACAGGCCATTGGAAATCCAGTACTGGAGATCAGGGCTCGTGGAATGACTTGGTAGTTACTGTTCAGAGGTTATAACCAAGAGACTGTATGATATTACCAAAGGAAAAAAATTGTAGGTATAGAAGAGATTTAAGGACAGAACACTTAGAAATTGGAAAATTAAGAAAAGGAAGAAAATTTAACATTCATTGCCTTTCATAAAACTTTGTTTTCTAGCATTATTTACCCTTTTTTGTACATGCAAACTGATTGTTTCACTATCTTCCTCAATACTACAGCTAAATGGATATGCAGTGGCCCTAAAATACATTTAAAGATGGATACATTTGTTCTTATATAGCCCCTAAATCCTTTTGCTTTCCCACTAAGGCTGATACAAGAAATTATATTAAAATGGCAGACCAGTTTTATTTCTGGTGAACACTAGTTTTAAAGAACATTCAGGTTGTTACAAGAAGCTAAGGCTTGAGATGTCTTATATATGTTCTCAGATGTTGCAGAGAAATATAAGCAGCTTTTGAAATACTATGACTTGACTCTCATTAAAAATTTGAAAGTCGATCTTTACCTTGAAATTTCTTGGTTGTCTGCAGAGACAGCAGAAGAGTTATAAGGATAAAAATAGGGTCCCATCCTGCCACATGACATAAAATTGTCTATGGATTTCACTGGTGCCAGTTGTTTGTTCTTTCAACCTTTAGAACATATAGCAGCCAGAAATGGAAGTTGATTCAGGTCACCATCCTGGGAGTGCCTGTTTACCCCAATAGAGGGGATTCTTTTGCCATAGGGAAAAATGACTTGAATTGGCTGTTTCAGTTTCTTTTTTTATGACCAGGGCCCTATGTTTCAATTAACTTTTACAAGTGAATAACAGGCAATAGCCACAATAGAGTTGGCTGGTAAAGGAATTGTATGGTGTTCGTTGCAATATAATAAAAAAAATGTGCATAAGTCTTTTGATACTGGAAGGTTTTTGTGATTCTAAAATTAACGAGCTGGCTCGGTTCTCCTCGACATATTCCCTAGGCTTTTTATGGCCATTTTTCTTTCTTTCTTTCTGGCTTTCTCCCCTTCCCCCCCATTCTCAGAGGATTTTGCATGTGTATTTTTGTTTGTTTTCCTTCCTTGACCTGAATTTCTGAAACTTCTAAGTCAGACTGGTTTTAATCCTATTTTCAGAATTCTTACCAAGGTCAATCTGGTCCTGTTATATTCAGATGCTGACTCTTCATAGCTTTTTATTCCATCTCTCTCTTAAGACCAATTGCTATCTCAGCTATCTGCATAAGTGAAGTGGTAGGAGTTTGGAGGTAAACTTGTATTGCTAACCTGAAATGAGCTGTGGATAACAACTAGAGTCAGTTTTAATATGGGAAATTTAAAGAGGGGCTCTATAAGATAAGAATAAATTTAGCCTATTTTAACAGCTTATTCCTCTTCTTGTTACAGTAAGTACAAATGGATCCTAGGTGAGGAACCTGTGGAGAAACGAAGAAGGCTTCAGAATGAGATAACAACACCTCCTCTAGATTATTCCATGCCTGGATCTTACAGGAGGGTAGAGGCAGCTGTTGCTTACCCAGAAAGAGAGAACAGCCATGATAAATCCAGTTCTGAGAGAAGCACACCACCGTATCTTTCCCCAGAATACCCAGAAGCAAGCAAAAGTACCAATCAAAGTAGGGAAGCTTCAGTTCTGTATCCAGGAGCCCAAGAACATCAGGGGTCCCTGCTCCCTGAAGAATTAGAAGATCAGATGCCAAGATTGGTAGCAGAAGAATCTAACAGAGGTAACATAAACAAGGAAGAAGTAAACAAAGGACCTTTTGTAGCTGTTGTTGGAGTTGCAAAAGGTGTTCGAGATTCAGGAGCTCCCATTCAGCTGATCCCTTTTAACCGAGAGGAGCTTGCTGAGAGAAGAAAAGCAGCTGAATCCTGGAACCCAATGCCTTATTCTTCTGTGGTTTCTGCTACAACTCCTGCTGCAGCCGCTGGGGAGAAAGGAAGAGGCTATGAGGAGAGTGAAGGTCATAATACACCAAAGATGAAGAACCAAAGAGAGTTGGAGGAATTGAAAAGAACCACAGAAAAATTGGAACGTGTTTTGGCAGAAAGGAATTTGTTCCAGCAAAAGGTTAGGGCAGCACCTTACCATTAGGAATAAAAGATAATTGAATAATAGGCCACCAAGGGACCTGAGAGCTGGAGCTCTGATGAATTCATGTTCTGATACCTTTAAGCAAAATAAGCCATTGAATTATTCTGTTGTATGCTTCAGATTGAGTAAACCCTAGTGGGCTTCCCTCCTATATTTTGGGATTGAAAAGGTCCATAAGTAGAGGAATACATACAGAGGAATCACTGAGGGAATATATTAGGGGCAATTTTTGCCACTCTTGTAGCATGTGGAGTCATTGAATTTCTATTTCTTGGACTGCAGGTGGAGGAGCTGGAACAGGAGAGGAATCACTGGCATTCTGAATTCAAGAAAGTCCAACATGAATTGGTGACCTACAGTACCCAGGAAACAGAAGGCTTGTATTGGAGCAAGAAGCACATGGGTTATCGCCAAGCTGAATTCCAGATTCTGAAAGCTGAGCTGGAAAGAACCAAAGAGGAAAAGCAAGAACTAAAAGAGAAACTGAAGGAGACAGAGACACACCTGGAAGTGCTGCAGAAGGCTCAGGTCTCCTACCGGACCCCAGAGGGAGATGACCTAGAAAGGTTAATTACTAGGGTTTAGTTATCAGCTTGTGAGTGCTAATGGGAAACATCCCTTAGGACCCCAGTTACTGGTCATAAATAAGGGAGGAAGTCTAAATCAATTTATAGGCCACCAAGGACTGAGGAATTACTTCTTAGAGAGCTGCAGCCAGTCTCCCTATGCTTGGTGGCATTGTGCTTTCTTCTTTCTTTGTAGCTAATGGAAACATAATTGTTGAGAAATGTAGGCCCGTTTTTAAGGAGCTTCATTTTGTTCTGTTGGCTAATGACTTCATGTCATCTCTTCTCCTGCCCCTCACTCCATCATACAGGGCTTTGGCAAAGCTTACGCGGCTGCGTATCCACGTCAGCTATCTCCTTACTTCTGTCCTCCCTCACTTGGAGCTTCGTGAGATCGGGTTTGACTCAGAACAAGTGGATGGGATCCTGTATACGGTGCTGGAGGCAAATCACATACTGGATTGAACACTAGACTATATACTCTATCTACCCCTCTCTCCTCTCCTCTCCTCTCTCCCCTCCTCTCCCCTCCTCTCCTCTCTCCTCCCCTCCCCTCCCCTCCTCTCCCCTCCTCTCCCCTCCTTTCCCCTCCTCTCCTCTTCTCTCCTCTCCTCTTCTCTCCTCTTCTCTCCTCTCATCCTTCCCCCCTCTCTCCTCCACTTCTCTCCCATTCTCTCTCACCTTTATGCCTTATTTAGATAATCTTTGAGTAAATCCTCACTCTTAATCAGTCTGCTGCTTATTCAGTTTGGCGTGAGGAAAGAGGCTATTTCAATAGGCTTTCAAGAGTTTCAGGAACAGAAAAGCAATAGTCATCAAACCAAGTGACCTGAAAGTGTTAACTTTCATGGCTTAGATACTTGGCCTATTTTATATCCTTTCTGAAGTGGTTTGTATTCATTTAGGTTAAATCAGTCAACAAATATTGGGTTAATGTACTAGGTGTTTTGGGATAAATTAACAATTATAACTTATGGATTCAATCTTCAAGGATCTAACAATCTAATTGGAAACACAAGACACACACCAAGTTGACTAACTGGTACAAGAGAGTAGTACATGCATTATAGGGAAGGTCTGGAGGAGAAAGTTCAAGGAAGGAGTCATATCAGAAATGGGACCTAAGGTTTGTTTAAAGAATGAACATGACCACACTTAACAACTGTTGTTCTTTAGATGGTAGGACTATGATTGTTAATTGTTTCTTGCTATCTTCCTGCCTTTTTCAAATTTTCTATAATAAACCTGTTATTCTTCTTGCATTGGAAAAAAATAAATTCTTTTAAAAAGGAATGAGTAGGTTTGGATTTAGATATCAAATGAGAGACTTGTGAAAGCATAAGTTCATTTTATAATTTATGTTGTATTTCACATTACTTCTGGAAGAATAGCATGAACAAAGGCATGGAAAAAGTTGGAATGTGAAAAATGTGTTTAGTAGGAATGATGAGTTAATGTAAAGGGATCTAATGTTAAATCATTACCCATCTACTTACCTCCATTTGTGTTGTTTGCATTTTAATAAGGAATTCTTGGAAAATAAATCTTCAAGGCCCAAATTAAAAAAAAATATGTATCACCAACCCGGGATTTTAGGTAGCGGGAGAGCCATTGTAGGGCAGGAAGATCTATTTGATATTCCTCAGAATACACCATGCACCTACTCTTCAGGCCAGTGCTTAGTGAGGGGTAGATCTCATATTACCAGAAATAGTAAAACTTACTCTTGTAAAACTAGACATATTGTTTATTCCTTGCTTTATTGTATTTATATAGCACATACTCTCCAAAGAGTTCAAGGTACTCTTCAAAATACTTTGAACATTGAACACATAAAAAGCATAGCAACAGTGGAAACTATAAAAGCGAAATAATAAAAGGGAGGTGGGATCAAGCAATCACAAAAGGATTAACTAGTCCAGAGGAATTTTTTGGATATTTTTTGTTTCTCTTCTGCATAATTACTTCAGAAAATTCTCCCAAGCTTATTTTTATCTCCTTTGAAAGATGCCCATCATAGATATTCCAATGAGACTGCAAGGACTAGGAGGAAGCCAGAGTCAAATGTCACCATTAGAATAAGTACTCAAAATATTCCTGTCACCTTACTTTCACCTCACTGCAGCTCTAGCCTGCCACGTGATTATTTCTCATGTCAGACATTTGGACTATGATGTTAAGGGCCCCAGTTATCTAAATGCTGCTCAGAGGGCAGGGGGGAGCATATTCAACCATTCTATGAACAGTAACACTTGTTCTTCAGATGGGAGCTGTGAGAACGTGGGGCTTTGCACAGATATGGACAACGTGGATGAGAAGGTAGTGTAGGAAAAAATTCCGATAATTGTAGGGTGTGTGTGTGTGTAAAAGAGAGAGATAGTCCATTGGGCTTTTGAAAAAGGTGGAAATTTTTAACTCATCTTTACTATTGTTTATTCTCAGCCCATTTCCTCATCCCAACCCCATATTGCTTCTTCCAGCAACAGTTAACTATGTGAACCTATTTACTACAATACCAGAGCTACCGCTTTGTTATCTATTTAGAAAGAAATCATACTATGTAAAGTCCCTTTAACCAATGCTAAATGTCACTGCAGAGAGATTGAAAAATATCACTCAGGCTTACTAGAGCTTACGAGAAACAGTGGAGGCAAAAGAGATTCAGAAGAAAAAGGTGGATGCTTCCTCCTTTCTATCTTGTTAGGTTAACATAATCATAATTCTTTCAAATGTCTCATATTTGCCCTTTAAATTTCCACTTCCACAGTCAACAATTAGGTTCTTATTATCTACTCTTGATTATTGAAATAGATTCTTAACTGGCCTCCCTTGCCTCTTGTTCTCACTCCTTAAATCCACCGTACTCACTATCTCAAAATTGCTTTTAATAGTGCTTCCAGTTGCCCACCAAGTGTAATACAAATTCGCATCTGGATTAAACCATGCTCTTTAGACTCATCTTCCAACATTTCAAGCAAACCATGTTCCATCAGAAATGAACTATTTTTAGGTTTCTGAACCTGCCTTAAGATTTTTGCTATTCCATTCCCTTTGCCTGGAATGTTTTCCCTTACATCTTCCCTTTGGCTCAGATGTCAACTTTTTTCCTCTGAAAATTCCTCTAATTACCCAGCGAGATGTGACATTTTCTTTGAACATGTACGTTTTGGATCACTTATAAGGCTCTTATCACAAACTTCCTTGTCCTGTCTTCCCTATTAGAAAGCTCCAGATTCAAATATTCACTGCCTACTTGGCATTTACATTTAGATGTCTCACAAGCATTTCAAAGAAAACATGTTAAAAGTGAACAGTGACGTACCCTCCCCCAGGACCGTTCCTTCCCTTAATTTTCCCCATTTGAAAAATGGCACCTCCACCCACCCAAGCACATAAGCTAGAAACCTGGAAATCATCCTAACTTTCCTCTTCTCTAGTCCTCCACATCCAGTCTGTCAGAAAGCGTGTCAACTCAAACTCCAAAGTATTAGCTTGATTTCAGTCACTTTTACCACAGCTACCTTAGTCTAAACTGCTATCGTCTCCCATAGATAATTGCAACTCCTAACTGGTGTTCTTGCTTTCATTTTTGTTCCTACAGTTGTCTTACCCAGAGTGATTTAAAGAAACACACACACAAATCCAATCACATAACTCGTTGCTTAAAGCCCTTTAATGAGTTCTCATTGCACTTAGAATAAAATCCATGCTCATTACAATATCCTAAAGACCTCCACCTACTTCTAGTTTTTCTCTTGCAGCTATTCATATCTCACTTTCCCCTTGCTCACTGTGGTCTTACTACTGAAACATGTCAAGCTCTGACTTAACCTCAGAGTCTTTATCCATACTGTTCCTATGCTACAATGCTTATATCTCCAGTTTTGGCATGCCAGCTATTCCTCATCCTTAAGGTCTTTGAGTGTCAACTTTCTCAGACAGGTCTGCCTGGGAACCTTTTTTCTCTACCTTATTCTATCACTATTTCCTATTGTGTTTTGTTCATAGCACTTTTCACAACTTGCAATTATATATTTGGCTGTTTACTTTGACTCATTCAACAAATATTTATTGGGTATCTAGTATATGTTGTATGATATACAGTGAAGAACACAACACATGTGGCCTCTGTCTGCCTCTTTCACTATTAAGTTCTATTAGGGGAAAGATCATGCCCATTTTTTGCCAGTTGTTGTATTCTTAAGCTTATCATATTACCTGGTATATAGTAGGTAATCAATAAATAATTGTAATGATGGGAACTGTTTTGTTCATATCTCCGTCTCCCTCAAGAGCCTAAAATAGTGCCTCATTCATAGAAGAGATTGGATACATACTGTATGAGTGAGGTATATGGCAATCCTGGACATTAAACTCTGAAAATGAAAGACTGAGACAATAAATGGCATAAGTTATGGGGGACAGTCAGTGTTAGCTGGAGTGGCCTAGAGTTTCTCTTTAGCTGATCTTCCATTTGAATAATTAGAAAGGCTACTAAAGGAGAAAGGAAATACGGTGTTCTTACAGACATTCTGAATATCATCAAAAGGAAGCTCCTAACATGCAATTTTTAAATAATGATAATTACAGAATATAATCAGGAGAAGTCTATAGAGACCAGGTCTTGAGCGTGAGAAGTAAAGGAGAAATTTCTGCGTCTTTTGTTCACTTTTTCCAAGAGCAATGACAGTATTTTTTTTTTCCTAGAGAAGAGGAACTTGTCCACAAGCAAACAACAGACAGAGTAAGTTTCAAGGAAATAAATTTCTGGCACATGTGAGGAAGGCACTACATGCTTGAAGGATAAAAAAAAAAAAAAAAAAAAAAAAAAAAAAAAAAAAAAAAAGTACTAGCAGAGGACTAGATCAGAGACTTTGTGGATCCAGGAGATGGCCTTTGGACTGGAGAGTCTCAGGCTCGATTCTGGTCAAGGGCATGTATCTTAGTTGCAAACTCGATCCCTGGTGCAATCAGGGCACATTTGGGCAGCAACCAATCAATGTATCTCTCTCACATCTATATTTCTCTCTCTCTCTTTCCCCCCTCTTCCTTTCTCTCTAAAAATCAATGGAAAAAGCCGAAACCGGTTTGGCTCAATGGATAGAGCGTCGACTTGGGGACTGAAAGGTCCCGGATTCGATTCGTCAAGGGCATGTACCTTGGTTGCGGGCATATCCCCAGTAGGGGGTGTGCAAGAGGCAGCTGATCGATAACTCTCTCTCATCGATGTTTCTAACTATCTCTATCCCTTCTTCTCTGTACAAAATCAATAAAAAAGAAAAAAAGTAAGAAATGACTCTTTCAAAAATAAATAAATAAATAAATAAATAAATAAATAAATAAATAAATATCAATGGAAAAAATATCCTTGGGTGAGGATTAAAAACAATAACAAAAAGAGTGAAGTATGGAGTTATGTTCAGGAAAGTTTCAGGGAGTGAGCTCAGGTTAAGTTAAATGTAATT